AGTTTTTACTTCCGTTTTTAGATAAAAATAAATGACAAAATTAGAATGACTAATAATTCACTTGAAGATAAGTGGCTGCTGTAACCCTTGGATATCCATCCACAACCAACTTACAACAAAGAAGACCACGTATGTGTCATGAAGACTAGGATCAAAATGTAATTATAGTAGCTCTTTTTATCTTCATACCTCCAACCGAATCCTAGTAGGTTGATTGCTGCTTGGTGGTTAGCAGTAAAAAGCGTAATACCATCTCAGGTGTTGCAAAATAGAAAAGGAGCCATACCATCTAGCCAAACACCAAACATACCCTGCGCCAGTAGTGATTCCGACAACAGATATTTATGTTCGATTGTGGTTAAATATGTAGGTTCGATGCATGTATCAATGAATGCTGGTCGGTTTTGCTTTTGTAACTAAAGGCGTAATTCATAGCGTGGACGCATAGAGCGCTATCTGATGATTGGTTTTTGGCAATTAACAGTATTGCTCACATCGCAATCGCGTTCATTCACCGTTTGAAATATGTATGGGTTGTGCACATTCACGTCTTTATTCAGATTGTATAGTTGCAATATACGTTATATGACAAATCACATTAGAAAATGACAAAAGTGATGTTCTTTTAACCGATCCGTATACTTTAATAGTCTTTAGAATTTATTGTCTGCTGACTTCCAATAAGGAGACGGTACTCAATTCGACGCGTATGTTTTTTTTTTATGTGTGTTACCTCAAAACTTTTTACTGGGTGTACCGATTTCGATGATTCTTTTTTTATATGAAAGCTGATGCTTCTCGTGTAGTCCCATATAAATTTGATCAAGGTCTCACCAATAGTTTTTGAGTTATTCTTAATAATATATATTGAAGTCGGTTGTACAAACTTTTTAATTTTAAATTATTGTCATACTGTAGAAATGTTTAAGAAGGTGGCAATCGAAAATAACGGTAAATGTGCCATCTGCTCGTGTGGTCCCATATGAATTTGACAGTTTTTGAGTTATTTGAGTTATTCTTAATAATTTCTATTGAAGTCGGCTGTACAAAATTTTTAATTTTAAATTATTGGACGTCAAGATTGCGTCAATTGAGGCATTACTTGAAATATTTTCGCCACACAGGATACGCACTTTTCTGCCGACTTCCAAAAAGGAGACGTTACTCAATTCGACGCATATGTTTTTTTTTATGTGTGTTACCTTATAACCTTTTACTGGGTGGACCGATTTCGATGATTCTTTTTTATATGAAAGCTGATACGTCTCGTGTGGTCCCATATGAATTTGATCAAGGTCAGACCAATAGTTTTTGAGTTATTTGAGTTATTCTTAATAACTTATACTGAAGTCGGCTGTACAAAATTTTTAATTTTAAATTATGTAATGATAGAGTCGATACAAATCGCCAAGCTTGGCAACTATTGCAAATATCTGCCCCTATGAGACAATCTATTAGGGAGGCGTTTGTTCAGCAGTGGACTTTCGATGGGCTGTGTAGGCAATTCCAGTAGAGGAAGGATTTTTTGATTTGAAATAATGAATGACGAAAGATTGACAAAGCGAACTTATTTTTATAGGATAGGGTGACAAACGAGCACACAGACCACCTGATGGTGGTAAGTGGTTGCTGTGACCCATAGACATCCACATCTATCCTCAAAAAAGAATCCAAATGCAGATAAGTTGTCACACGTGGGGACTAAGATGGAATGCCTCTTTTCAATTAAAAAGGGTCTCCGGTTCTCTACACTCACCATAAGAAATGCAGCAGCATTAAGCTGCTATTTTAAACTGGTATTCTGTGAGAGCATGGTCCTTCCCCGGTCGAGCCGACCCATTTGTGCTACAAATATACTACTAATATAGCTGCAGTATGGCTCTACCACGTATAGACTTTTGGTGTAGAAGTGAGTGGCAGAGTATGGGAAACAACAATGAAATATTTCGTATTTCATTTCATTTCATATTTCGTATATCGTCATGTATCGAAGTCAGTGAGGATTTTCTGGCCTTTTTTATAGTCGCTTTACCATTACCGTTACAGCTTATTAAAGTCCACTGCTGAACATAGGCCTTCCTCATAGATTGCCTCAAAGGGGGGATATTTGATATAGTTGCCACGCTTGGCAAGCGGGTTGGCAACCGCAGTTTTTTTTAATTATTTTAAGTTCTTATCAGGAAGATGCTGCTGCCCATCACCTGTATCAATTTCCCCCTATCGACACCCATGGGACGACATGGGGTAGTAGGTATTCTCACACCACCACTACACGGTAAAGTCTTAAAGCAGGTTGAAATAGCGTATCGAATTCTCCTCTACTTCTACCATTACTATTTTTAAATGTACATAAGGTTACCTTTGTATTTAAAAAGTGATTTTTTTCATAAGCTTAATCTAGATAATTTAAAAGAAAAATTGTTGTTTCTACATTTTAATAATTATAATAAGATACCCATGGAAATTTAATATTATGTTTTGAATTATTGTTTTGAAATTTCGAGGAAACTAAAGTAAGTAAAGGAAAGGAAAGAAGTCAATTAAATAACTAAATTAACGTTTTGACTGTGAACGAAAGAAAGTTGTCAAAAAGCTTTTACAGAAGCTACAAGAGCGGTAAGTACGCTATGAAATCCATTAACAGTTTTAACGCGGACATTACAAAATACAGAGGTGACCTAAAATCGTCGCAAACATTTTAATCGCTAACAGTTGATAATGGTAACCCATCGGAAAAGTTATCTTTTGATAATAAAAACGGTGTGAACTTCCTAGCAAACTAGGTTTGTAAGTAAAATGATTTTATATTTTCTTTTGTTAAGTTTATATAAAAATCGTTTCTTCTAATTTTGACTCATGTCTTACACACCTAATGTAATTTAACATTTAAGATGTATGTTATTTTTGTGACAAAATAAAATTACCTCGGCTTATTTAGTTAAACAATTAGTAATTGTTTATTCCAGTTTTTTCTGCTTACTTCTTCTTTATAAGCTTAAAACTTTATAAAATAAAATGACTAAATATAAATCAAAATCTTTTTTTAAAAATTTAAAGAAATAAAGTTTTTACTTTAGTTGAAAATCGCACATTGTGTGCGCCGTTTCGTATTTGTGTCATATATTTCCCTCAAAACCTGTAAACATGATTGTACAGGTAATTGCATATGGATTTAAGACGTAGTGCTTCACTGCTGGCCGTAGCTGTGGTAAGATAATGTTTTGAATCTCATATTAATAAATGAATATTTGTTTATTTATTTGTCTTCTATTTGTTCTTATGCTATATATTCGATTACGATTAAGCTTTGGTGTAGTTGTATGCTCTCTCGCCAAGATTTCTGACAAAAAAGAGACATTGCAACGCATGCCACATCACATGGCACAGTTAGTACTTTATAAAAACAATTTTGCCAACCCTTTGTCTTAAGACGCCAGGTCACTGTCACCGTTCCGCTTGACATTTGTACAAAGGTCGCCCCGAGTTAGTTTGCTTTCCTTTTGCTTGTTACAATACTCTTTATAGAGCGAGAAAGGGTAGTATTGTTTGTATGGAAATTAACCTTTACATTTGTTGAGGGATGCGTTTCAGAAGAATAGTTATCAATGGTAAGTTATTTTAAATTCAACTTTGTTGTTTTAACTAATTATATCCTACTAGCTGGCCGAGCAGACTTTGTTCTACCCTCTCCGACGACCCTTTGTTCTTTAAAGTCTTTAAATTCGCAATATAAATTATTGAGGGTCACTTATCGGGATAAAACTATTCTATGTCTCAAGTTGGAGCAAGCAATACATATTTACAAAATTTCATTAAATTCGGTTGAGTGGTTTCAGAGTTGATCCAGGACAAACAATGTGACACGTATTTCTTTATATATAAAGATGATACAATTACTTATATCATAGGTAAGAGATATCACTTAAATGGTTTGAATTATAAATTGACTAAAAACCTTTCACACACAAATATACTGTTTCTGCAGCGCTGATGCAGAACCAGTATATCTACACTATACATATGTAAATTTTGCGCTTACTATGGTTGTAATATTATCTTAACAATATAATATTGCTTTAGACAGAAAGATTTCGTGAAAACTACATGTGATAAAAACTACCCACATTAAAATATAGTTTATATCATAGATAAGATTATTTTTTTAGGAAAAGCAAGCGAATAGTTATAAAGAGCTGATAGATAGTAGACAGTATATTATTCGCACATATAGCAGTTCCATATTTATGAACAAAAAAAACTATATGACCAGAAAAGCGCGTGAAAAAGCCTTGAGTTGAAAATCAACAAATATCTCACTGTTCCTATAATTTAAAGAGAGTATTTGATCACGCAAACCGTGGGCATGAGAACGCTTGAAACCAAATCGAGGTATCATCAAACATTAAGCGATACGAGATCATAACGTGTGAATAGACACAAATAAATAATTGCACAACCATAAAGCATCGTGCTATAGACAATTATGGAAGGAACGACCGATGAGTCGGTGGCACGGAAAGAAAATCAGGAATACATAAGTATATAATACGGCCCCAGTTATGGCAACATGAGAAAATAATAGTTTTCATGTTGGAAATAAATAACGCGCTATGGAAGAAGACAATGGTCCCGTAATAAGATCTCTTGTTAATTTTGGCGAATGCGAACCGCGCTCGTGATCGGAGATTTATGAAGGCATTGAAATTACACCTTGTTTGTTCTTTTCACGCCGGAACGTGTCTACGACTATCGAACAAAAGAAATTTTGTAATTTTATAGACGAGTGCACAGATTTAATAAGTAAAATTTTTAAATACATCAACGTGATAAAATAAATGTTTACAAGTTAACAAGCGACTTATCTAGTAATTTAATTAACACATTTTGTTTTTGTTATTGTTCACGGATTTTTTTTTCTTCAGAAATTATTATGTAGTTTCAAATATATATTTAGTATAGTTTGAAGTTTTATGACGTAAATCAAAAGTTTCAATACGCACCTCTCATTTTTTGCTCGTCGAGTAATTGTCTCTCCAGGTTGTCTTTCACCTCCCGTTCTCTAAGTACATCCATCTTCAATTCAGCTGCAACAAAAATAAAACATGAGAACATACATATTTGAATGCAAAGATATTTGTTATCTGAAACAAATAACTTAATGTATACATTAGTAAATAGACTATTATTAAATAGACTATAAATTATAAATATCTCACAAATAAAATATTAAAAAGTTAACTGTATGTAGCCTAATGTTGCATGAATAATGTGATTGTACGAGTATTAAACAAAGTTTCGAATAGATGCTATTTACGTCGGAATAATTTATTTTTATACAGATTATAAATATCAGTAATTTAAAGGCAAAAAAATAAAAAAAGTAATTCAAATTTCAAATTAAATTATCAAAAAATATCAAAAAACAATAAATATAAAATATGTTTACATAAACAATGATTTACGTTAAATAGATGGCTCATTGTAAGCAAAAGGCATTGTATAAATTTAACAGTGAGCTAAACCCGTAACAAGGCCGTCAGCAAGGGGCCGATTAAGAACATAAACACAGATTAACTCATTCGGAATCCCGGTACCATTGTGAAGGAGTCGAATTGAGAGATTTGCATAACTTTCAATTAAATCTAACCTGACGGAAATGATTGGGGGAGGAACTTCCGATTCGGTTATGTTTTGAGATCGCATTTCGAGAATACATCACATCACACTAGCACGTAACCTGTTTACCAAATAATTGTACATATATATATTTTGAGTTCTGCTAATTTGGTACTTTTTATAAATTTAAATCTGTTTTAAAGGCAAATGTGATTTTCATAAAGTTACGTTTATTGATGACACATGTCTTTATGAAAAATCAGTATAATCTAAATAAGATTCTAAATCAGATTCATTATTGATTCATGGATTAACGTAAAGTAACGATACACGTGAAAGCGAACGCACGTACAAGTCGAATTTGAATAGAAAGAGGTCATGCCGGCTCACAGTTTAATTTGGTCCCTTATTCAATTAGCCACCTTAGTCGCATCTATCTAATGGAGGTCGTAAGGGGATCAGGCTGATTAACTCGCGTAGTTAGCACCTACGGCTACGGCGCCTCTTGGTGATTTTATTTGAAAATCCGACGCTTTGTTCTCGTATCACTAAGACTAAGACTTTGAATTTTCTACGGCTGAATCGACGTATATGTATGTATATATAAGCTGTGTCTGAAAATTTACTTTTTACACATAATTTTTATCGTAGATAAATGAAGCCATATATAGAATGAGCCGTGGTAGGTTAGACAAAAAGCGCTAAAATTATAGTACGAGAGAAAACCGAGTTCGATCCTTGCCGTGCTTGCAGTAGAGGAAAATATTGTGAGAATACCTGTAATATGTCTAAAAATAAAAAATAAAATCAATGACCTGTTAAGTCTGCTAACACGCATTGGATTCAAGGTAGACTGTAATATGCCTTTTTTAATTGAACGAAATATTAAGTTGAAATTTTAATACCTACTATTAATAAGTATATAGAAATAATGATTTCTTATATTTACGTGAACACTACAAATGTGTAGTGTTCACGTAAATATAAGAAATAATAAAATAATATTCAATGGAATATAACTATTTTTTACGGATTTTATCGCGTTTAATTTACTATTTTAATTCCCGACGTTTCGGGTGCTTTACAGCAACCCATGGTCATTGGGGGGGACTGAAAACGTCGGGAATTAAAATAGTAAATAAAACGCAATAAAATCCGTAAAAAATACTGTTATTCAATATATAGAAATAATCACATACACATAAATTACTAGATTTTATTCCACAAAAATGTACACTTAACAATACTTTACTAATTGCCAACACAGCCTTAAAAAGAACTAACAAGAATGTTGCGAAGTGAATAAGTTTAAAGAAATTCAATTTAAACTTTGCTGTTTGAAAATGAATTAAATTTCTTGCTAACCGGTAAATGAAATGTAAATTAGTTGTTAAGTCATAAGAAGATATCTAGGTGACGGGACTACTTTTCTGCCTGGGAATCCGAATGTTACTATAGTTGTAGCACGAATGGGTCGGCTCGATCGGGGAAGGACCACGCAAAATAGCACAATAACGCTGTTGTGTTTCGTATGGTGAGTGTAGAGAACCGGAGACTCTTTTTACTGGAAAAGAGGCATTTTATCTTAGTACTCACGGGTGATAACCCATCTATATTTTAATTCGCAAACGAAGATAGATGTAGATGTCTATGGGCCACAGCAACCACTTACAATCAGGTGGAGTGTGTGCTCGTTTGTCACCCTTATTCTATAAAAAAAATCTAAGTTCTTATTTCTGACCAAGCAGTAGTACGTGCAGTGCACTGCTGTATTCCGGTCTATAGCGTATAAAGAGCCAATAGAATTACAGTTTGTGCGCATCTGCTGCCTTCTTGGAGTTGGTTGCAGCTGTTCATGTACTGCTTTGGCCACTCACCATCAGATGGAATGTGAGAATGTATGGTTGTGAGATGAATTATAATAGAGACACCATATTGTCTAGTTATAATTATCATTCGTTATCGTCCTGAATTAATGATGTTAATACTACGAATAATAAATAGTTACGTAATTTGAATACCAGCGTAAAATAGCAGCTTAATGCTGCTGTGTTTCATACGGTGAGTGTAGAGAATGGGAGACCCTTTTTACTGGCAAAGAGGCATTCCATCTGCACCTGTATTTTGAATCTTAATAGTGGATAAATGCAGATGCCTATTAGCCACAGCATCCACTTACCATATGTGGACTGTGGCTCGTTTGTCACACTTGTTGTATAAAAAAAATGTTATAATTCGACCATAATTCTGTTAAACCTTTTATTAGGGTTTATTCAAAGTACTGTGTAGAGGATATATTTATAGTTATAAATTTCAGTTATTAAATCGTATTTGATTCACAGACATAAGGTATGCTTGCAACGAATTACGGACCCGCAACTATCGTGTTCTATTCAATGAGATCTGTTGCGCTTATTAATTCTGATAGGGTTGTAATTAAAATTGCCATATCGATTTATAGTCCAATCGATAAATGCATAGATTGTTGTTCGTAATAATAACACATTATTATTGTTTTATTTCATTTAATATTTATTGTAGGTATCAATTGCCTGTAAAGAAGTATATGTCACCCTTCTCGCAGAGATACCTTACCCGTGAATATGTAATAAATTCTGTAGATGCAATTAATTCTATCATCAGTAGCGTAAAAGCTCTTGTATGATAAGTAGATATTTAATTAAGTGGAAGGTTTACTTTTTAGGAGTTCGTCTGGGTAGATACCGCCTCTACCATTTCTTTCACCAAGCAACAGTCCATCTGCTTTTGTGTTTTATTATTTTTTTGATGTATCGAGCGACGGTGAAGAGATAGAAATAAGCCTTCTTTTACAGCGATACTTTTCCCGTGAATAGCGGCCAATGCAACTAATTCCATCATTAGGAGCGTAGAAATCTCTTACAAAATAAATATACAATTAACTAGGTGTTAGGGTTTCTTTTTTGTTTTGGTATCCGTCCGTACGTCCAGGTAAGTACCACCTTATTTCTATCGCCAAGCTACAGTGCTAACATCCACTTTTGCACTTTTGTGTTATTTAGGCATTCCATCTTATAGCAGCGATAGCACGTCTGTTGCCATCTTTACTTTGTTTGTTTCATGTGTCCAGGGGTTGCAATTGAAATTTTATTTTAATAAAAATTAAAATCAAACGCTACAACCTTATTGAAAGAACATTTGCACGAAATTTCCAAGAATTTACTCGAGCAAATTATGTACGCAGATCTGAAATATACATATAGTACATAATATGTTTCTTACAATTTTAAAAGAATCGGTACAAATTCGTTAGTCACCATATTCGTAACGAGAACATGATAGAGATACACTGAAAAAAAATTATAATTAACAAACATTCGCGTTTTATTTTTCATTTCATGTTTTCAAACCACGTTATAGTGTTATGGAATGCCATTAGCAATATTATACCTTAAAAATTGCAGTAAAATTTCGGTCCTGGGACTTATTGAATACTAGGTGTTCCCCGCGACTTCGCTCGCGTGTTAGGGTTTTTATGTTTTTGCGCGGAACCCTAATTATTTTTTAAAATAAAAGTAACCTACGTTACTCCTTATAAAATCAGCTATCAGCCAGGGAAAGTTCCGTCAAAATCGGTCCAGCCGTTTCGGAGATTAGCCGGAACAAACAGCCAGACAAAAATTTTAAAAATTGTGTTTTTGTTATAAGTACCGTTTATACTTTTCTATGCATTTAGTAAAACGCTGTTATTTTGACATTACAAACAGACACTTCAATCTTATTGATATGTATTGATAATCTTTTTTATTTTCTATACGGTAGGTACTATCAAAATCCAAAAGCTATATAAAATACCATATATGTATAAAAGGAAGAAATAACTAATCGTTTCGGATCTTGGATCATATCGACTAACAATAATACGTACGATAATATGGAGACAAGTTAACTTGTGCCTGACCAAGGTCCGTAATAAGCAAGAATAAAGCAAGTTCGAGCTCCCGGCGGATTATCTCAAGTTCGGATCTTGTAAATTGAAACGTTGTCTTGCTCATTGTGCTGTTCGCTGTTTTATTTCATTTCTCTGTGGTTATATTGTTTGGTAATTATGTTAAGGGATTTTTGGATTAACTTCTAAGTTTTAAAAAAGCTAAATCTTAAAACAGACTATAAACATTTAAAAGAAAGGAAATTACAATTATGGTATATATGTATTATTCTTAAAATATACCTGGACTAGATAAATACCATTATCAGGAAATCAGGCAGCGTTCAATCAAAAATATGGTGATTACGATGTGATATATCGTACATCGCATTTTGATTTGATTTTCCACATATACAAGAGTAATTAAAATAAACGTACAAAAAGGAATTAAAAAGTAGGCGTAACGTATGAAATATAATGATTGAATACTATAAAAAGATATTACGCATTGATTGAAAATATCAGCGCTTGAAAAAAAAACATCGAGTTTGCGATAGCTTC